TTTTAAATAGGTAAAAAATTAACAATATTATTAAATTTAAAAATAAAATAGAATAATTTTATACCTTATTAAAAAAAATATAAAATTTTGATTTTATTTGGTTGAAAAAATAGTTAGTTTTAAAGAAGACTCTCATCAATAATAGAGAAAAAAAAATAAATTACTTTTGATAGCTTAAAATTTAGTAAAATTATTTATGTTTGAAGAAGAAATAAAGAGCGAGCAAAAAAATTATATTTTAATTTGTTACCATAAAAAAAATTTAAAAAAAATAAAAATGAATTTATTATTAAATAATATTTATTATTTCTTTATTTATTTTGTATTATTGAAATCATAAGAATAAATATATAAGCACAAGCTAAATAATTTCTCTTAATAAGAAACATTTAACGTATTATTAATTAATTAATTGATTTTCTGATTTATCTACTTAATTAAAATGTTAATGCTAGCTATTATGTAACTTTAACTCAACAAACTTAAACTTTTTTTTTTACTCTATCAAATTTTGTATTGAATTAAAATAGTTTATGCAATTACTATAATATTATATATATTTCTTATTAGTTTACATTAAATAACTATAAACCCTAAGGCTGTCAATATATTTATTCAAAAATCCTTCTTTTTGCTATTCTATATTTTAAAAATGATGATATTTTTTTATTTTATTTAAAATGAAATCAAAAACTATTTTTTTCAAAATATTATTGTTATTTATGAACAAAAGTCTTTTATTTTATTATTATTTAAAACTTATATAAACATCTATTTATAAACTCTTAAAACTTAAATTTTAACTATGTAAGAAAGTAGAACAATATTGAGAAGGAAGCTGTTTATCAAAATCAACTATTTTAACAATTTAAAAATTTTATAAAAAGCAGAAAAAATTCCTGATTATTTGTTTGTTTATTTATTTGTAGTCTAGCTTGATTGCTTGCTTATTTGTTTGTTTGTTTGTTCACTTGTTTGTACATTTGTTTGTTAGTTTATTATTTTTGACAGAACTATAACAAAAGAAATTGAATTACTTTAAATATATATTTTTATAGTTATTTTATAATATAATAGAAGATAAATAGTAGAAGTTTAATTGAAATTAGCTATTTACTAATTAAAAATTTGTTATATTGCAAGATAAATAAATAATGGAAGAAGAAGATTCTTTAAATGGAGCTCCAAAGAGAAGACAATTATTTATGGATTTAGATACTAAAGAAATTTACCACAAAAAAAACTTAGAAAACACATCTCAGGCTTTGATAACTCTGAATTCTTAAAATTGTTAAATTGATGATGATTATCAAATTGATAACAGCTAAGTAGAGAGAAATAATTTAGAGGTTAAAAAAATAAATTCAAGCATGTGCAACATAAGTTAGAAAATAAATGAAGTCAATTTTAAAGAAAGCTCAAAGGGTTAGTAAATTAGCTCCAATGTTTTAACAGCGCCATGGATAAGTAAATTCTAAAATGACACATTATTATCTAGCTTTGAAAAAATTTATGGAATTAACATTCAGCAAGTAAGCAGTAATCCTGATGAAAATATTAGCATAAATAACTCTTAGATTTAAAGAAAAATGACTCACTACTTTGTTAAAGAGCACAGAATAGATTTTAAAAATAATTATGATTAAGATTACCTAAAAGAATAAAAAAATTTTGAAGAATTAGATTTAGAAGAAGAAGATGAAGTTATAAGAGCTAAAAAGCTTTAGAGAAAATAAGAATTTTAAGAAATTTGGATTCGACTTGGGAGTGTTTTGTTTAATGTTAGAAAATTTTTTAAAGTGCTAAAATCTTAATGTTCTTATTTTAAATACAAAATATTGATGGAATCTCATAACTTACATATAATTGGAGACAAGGCGTTTTTTAAAAAAGGGGATCAAGACGATATAAAGAAATAAAATATAATAAATGATGAAGAAGAAGAAGATAAAAATTGTATAATTAAGTTTTAAGAGCCTTTTTCACCAGACGATTTTATTATTTTAATATGGGAATCTTATTTATTATTAATTTTATCAATTGAAAGCTTTATTATTCCTTTTAAAGCATGTTTCAAAGTGAATATGTTGATTGTGACTAACTTTCTAGTTTACATACCAATGATCACTTATGTCATAGAAATGCTCTTAAACTTAAACAAGGGTTTTTTTAACTAAGGGAATCTAATCTTGAAACGATCATTGATTGTTAAGAACTATCTTAAAAGGCAGTTTTTTTTAGATTTAGTATGCCTCTTCAGTACTTATTATTATTTAAACCTTGGCAGCTTTGAGTATTTGAATATCGCATTTCTAATTGCTAGGATTACTTAAATATAACGGATAACTTCTAGATTGGACGAATCATATTCATTATAATTTAAATACCCTGAAGCTTCAGAGCTATCTAGACTTATATTAATTATTATTTTTATTGCCCATCTTACTGGATGTGGTTTTCATTTTGTAGGAATGTACATCTCTGACAGCCAAAACAATTGGCTGGAAAAGTATAAAATATATGATTCCACTGTCTTTGAAAGGTTAATTTTAATATTTTTTAGTATTTCTTAAATAAATTAATTTGTAGAAAATTTAAAGCAAATAATTTTGATAAAAAGATTGATTTTTAACAAATATTTTATTTATGATTAAAATATTATTTTTCAAAAAGTAAAAAAGAATAAAATTAAAATTAAAAAATCATTTGTTTATTAAAATATTATTTTGAAAAATATTTACATGAATTTTAAAATAGACTAGTTTAAATTTGAGGAATAGAACATATCTTTCTCTATATTAATTAATCAATCAATTTTTAAAATTAATTTATTGATTCTTAAATTAAATATAAATAACTAGATATATAAATTCTTTGTATTATGCGTTTATTACAATGATGACAGTGGGATATGGAGATATTGTTCCTATATCGAATAGTGAAAAAATTTACGTAATTTTGATGGCGCTAACTTCTTGTGGTGTATTTGCTTATGCAGTAAATACAATAGGAACTATTTTCAGAGATTTGTAAAAAAAGTCTTTTAATTTTAAGTAATTTAAATCTTTATTTATAAAAATAATATTAATTATAAATATATGCTGCCAATCCTCATTAATTAATTAATTTATATTTTACCTGAAATAATTAAATAATATTCCCAATATAGGGTTAATTAATTAAATAATAAGTAAATAAATAAATTTATAATTAATTAATGAGGATATAAAGTATTCATTTAATAATGTGTATAAAACTATTTTATTTATATAGATAAAATAAATTTCAGATCTAGCAATATATGATCAATAGAAAAATAAATGTCAAATTACAAAGAAAAATTTTAAGAGCACTTGAATATGCAGATTAATAAGAGCAAAGAGGGAGCCAATAAGGAGAATTGATATTAAAGAAAGTATAGATACATCTATAAAATGAAATTAAACAAGATTTTTTTGGAAAGATTTTATAAAATCATAAAATTTTCTAATTAAATTTCTCAAAAAATTTTCTGAAGCATGTTTCTCTTAAAATGACTGAGAAGCTACTTGCTAGAGATGATATTTTATTTTCTTAAGGAGAAACAGATGAGAATTATTATATTGTCCTAAGTGGAAAACTAGAATTATTTATAATAACACAAGAATAAGTAAAACTTGGAAATATCCTTGTAAGAATTTATTTTTTTAATTTAAAAAAAAAATGAAAAAATTATTTTAGATATTAAATTAATTTCTTTTTCATTAAAAAAGCCTGGATAAGGCACAGGATAAAGGGGTTTTTTCACAGGATTTCCTAGAACGCTGTTTGCAAAAAGCTCTGAAATAACGAGAGTTGTCAGCATTAATAGAATTTCTTTCCTTGAGGTTATTAAAAGCTACCCATTGGACTATGTAAAAATATTAGCTAGCTACTTACTTTATTATTTATTTATTAATTTATAGGAAACTTTTTTACTTAATTATTTTCAAAAATTTAATGTTAGTAAAGATTTTGCTATATAAAAGATTAAATTCTATTTGAAATGAAAGAATTTGATTTAAAATGTTCCACCTGTTAATAATTTAATCATGGAGTGTTGGAGTGCCCTATCATCAACCCAAAAAAAGATATGAATGATCGTAATACTACTTACATTATTCAAAACAAAGGCAAGGACTGCATTTAATTAAGAAAGAATCATGATAGGAGAAAAAAAAAGAAATATAACTCTTTTAAGTATGAATCAGAAGTTAGATATAAACTTAGAGAAATTAGGTTGGACATTACTGGAATATTAAGTCAAGAAATACAAAAAAAAGAAAATTCTGATAAATATTTAGACGAACATGATATCTTTGAGAATTTTAACGATTTTGAGTTTTTTGTAAAGTAAATCATCATTTTTGTCATTATTGATTTTTAAATAAAAAATATTATTATTGTAACTTTCAAATACAAGAAATCAAAAAAACAAGCAAGCAAACAAACAAATAAACAAATAAAATACCTTAGATTTTTTTAACTTGTTTGACAAACACTAAATTTTAAGTTTTTTAGTAAAATTAATTTTACTTTTTTGTTAGATTAACACAATACAAAAAGTCAATTCATGTTGAATTAAAAATTAGGAAAATTTTCACTTGCTAAATTGTTATTATCAAAATAAATTTAATAAAGAAATAAATAAACACATAAAATAAATCAACAAAAATCTGATAGTATAATTAAAACTTATTAATTAAATTAATTATTTTATATTAAAAATGCATTCTTAAAATATTTTACTTTTTAAAAATTATTTTGTTAGGCATTTTAGTTAATCTTTTTTAAATTTCATTTAGATGCCCAATTATAAAAATGATAAAAAGTGAGTATAATGAAATGATTTACGAGTTGGTAGTTGATGAAGATGATGAAGAAATAGATGAAGACATACCTTTCTTAGAATGCATTCAAGAATATTTAAGACAAGAATAAAAAAGTGTCTAAGAATAGGACTCTGATTTTTAGAATTAAGCTAGTACTTTTAAGGTTCTTCATTAATAAAACACTAACGAGCCTTCAATTGCACCGGAATAGAATAGTGTAGATATAAATGAGACAAATAATCAAGAGTTTTAACCAAAAGAAACATCAATAATCGAAAATCTAATCATTTAACAATAAATTGTACCTCAAAATACTGCTAAGTAATCATTTGCTAAAAAATAAAAAACAGGAAATGTTATAAAAGGCTTACATTCTATTTATTCTATGGATTTAGACAATGATGTCCTCAGAGAATAAAATAACTAGCAGAATGAGTAAAATCCAACAATATAAACAGATGCTTACTTTTAAGGATTAGAGAAAAAAATGAATATGAGTTCTTTTGAGTAAGATATTTTAAAGCTTTTCAAGTAACAGAACTAGTCGAACGGGTCTAAATTAAAAATAGAAAGTAAGACTCAATCTCAGTTCACTAGAAAGCGGTCATATGACCAAGAATTCCCTGAATATCCGGATAGTCCATTAAGAAGGTAAAATAAATTAAAAGAAGGAAAGTCTAATGCTACTAACACAGTCATAGCAGCTTCAGAAATAAATAACAATTAAAATCAAGGTATTTTAATGAGAACAAATAAAAGAAGAATAACAAAAACTGTTACCATAAATTAAATTGAAAACTAACTTTTAAATTAAATGTCAAGACAAATCTCCACTGCATCAAATCAGCCTTCACAGTGCTCTTCAGAATAAAACTCAGAATTAAAAAATTCAATAAAAGTGCATCACTAAAAATAAAGTAGCACAAATTATAGTGATAAAACTTAAAACTAGCAAATTCTTAGTAATAATAATATTAATTTGAATATGAAAGTAGCTCTTCCTTCAATATAATAAGAAGGCAAAGAAATATAACCAAGTTCTTTTAAATATATAAAACCACCTAGCTCAAATATGATAGCAACTCATTAAAAATAGAGATAAAGTGCTATTGTGGGTTTAGATCTCCTTAATAATATTCATTTTCTTTAAAGCAATGGCAAAGAAAAGAATAAGGTTCACTCAGATGAGTAAGTATGGTCTGTATTACCAGATTTTGAAACTTTTAAAACTTATTAGCGCTACTTTCCTTTAAATAATATTGAAGGAGTTATAATGAAATATAACCGTCTTTAAGATAAAAAGTATAAAAAATAAAACTAAAGAGAAAATTAACTTACTAGAGGAAAGACTATGTCATATTTAAACAGGTGCTTTAACAATAAATAGTCTCCACAGTAAAAAAGGAGAGGTGCTGATAAATCTCTTATATCTAATATTAATTAGTAAATTAACTAAATCAGTATTTCAGCTTTGAAAGAAAAAAAGAAAAAATAAAAATTAGAATAAGATTCTCTTTCATAATGTAATAATAAATCAAGAAAGTAAACTTATAATTCTAACTTTTAATATTCTTCATCAAGAGTTGATAAAGAATCAGACTATAGCATAATGTGAACAAATAGATAATTAAGTAGTTTTTGATTTATTCGGTTCTTCATGTTATTATGTGTGTTTACACAACAATTCTTTTAAAATCTCAAATAAACCTTTTTTTTAGACTTTGATCTTAATATGTTTTTATTCATATTCATTAGTTATTTTTATTTGTTAAAAAATATTTTAATAAAAGTAAAATAAATTTGTCTGTATAATTTTCTATACTGTAATAACTCTATAGAATAAACTTATGTTTTAGAAATATTTGTTTTTACTAGATAATTAATAAATTTAAAAAGATTTTAAGGATTTAGTATAGAATTGGTGCTGCTATTTTTAGAATAATTATGGTTTATTTGATTTGTTAATAAATGGGTAAGTTGGGGTCTGAAAAATTAATATAAATTAGATAATAATTGGAATGTAGCGCCAAAATTTATAAAGATTTCAGTAAGATATTATTTGATAAAAATTAGTATCAGATTAGTAAAATAAGATAGAAAGATTAAAAAAATAAATTAATTAATAAATAGATATATTGATTGATATAAAGATATATAGAAAATGGAGGGAGAAGAATTAAAGTAGTAAGAGTTAAAAGTGAAAAAATTTATAAGAAAATCTAGGTTCACAAAAAGAAAAGAAAGAAGATAGAAGCTTAGTTAAGAAGCATAGGCTCATAAACAAAAAATAAGCGAAATAAGACATTTAGAAAAGGATTTTATTTGTGCTATTTGTTTGTAGTATATATGCTGCAGTACGAGCACTAAATGTGGGCATGCTTTTTGTGAAACATGCCTTACAGAATATGAGTTATTGTTTGATAAATGTTTAGTTTGCGATTCAAGCATAAAGAATTAAGAAATAAGGTCTTGTTTTTTACTAGACAATTTGATATAGGAGTTTATAGAGCGTAATCATCCATCAGAATTATAAAATTTCAATAAAAGAAAAGCTGAATGCATATAATAAAGATAAAAAAAGTAAATTTCAGATTGGCAAATCGGAATGAAAATAGATATAAGAGACTCCAATAATATTTGGTGTGTAGGGATTATTTCTCGTATCTAACCTAATAAAAATAACTAGGCATAAAACATTGTAGTCTGCTATGTGAACAATCTAAATATCCAAGAAGAATTACCATGTGCCTCTTCGAGACTGGCTCCTTTTGGATTATATAGTTCTAGAAAAGACATTCCTCATTACAATAATTGTTAAAATACATCTGAAATAGTCATTCACCTACCTACTCTTTCTGATAATGTTCCATAAAAATTATTTATCTAATGAAAATCAAATAAAAATATTGAAAGAGTAATATCTATTAAAAGCAATTTTATTTATTTATTAATTAATATATAGACACAATTTAAAACTTTATAAAAATGAGTAAAAATTATTAAAAATTTCTATATTGGAATCTGCTACAATTCTAAGATATATATATTCAATATTATAATTTAGGTTGCTGTCTGTCTGAAAACCTTAAACAGCAATTTTTACAAATTCTAATCATTGAAAACAAATAAAAAGCATTTTAAATAAATATAAAAAATAGTAGTTAAATTGGTTTTTTTGTAGTGTATTATAAAATGAAGTAAACAATAGTAAATCTTTAATTGAATATTTATTATGGATATGTAGATTACTGATTATATATTAAAATTTGAAAGCTTTTATTTTTGATATTTAATAATTATTAATTACTTAAAAGATTTAAAATAATTATTACTAATTTATTTGCTTTAATTTAATGCAAGAATATGAAAAAGCTTATCTCCATTTAGAAAAAGATAAAATAAAGTTTTTTTTTTATAAAATATTTTAGAATTCAAACTTTATATTTATTTTATCACTTAAAAGCAAGCAAACAAAAATCTCCATTTTTTTAAACAAATTTGAAAAGATTTCATTATATTTACATTTTTTTGAATCTAATTTAAAATCAATAAATAAATCAAAAAGAAGTAAAATTAATATTTTTAAACTTCTTTTATTTAAATACTAGTTGATTGACTAGTCAGTAGGTAGCCTTTTGCGTTGAAATATTTGAGTATAAATTTTAAAAAATAAATAGAATAAAATAAATGTTTTTTTAAACTTTTATTTGGCTATTTATGAATAATATTTTTTATTATATTTATTTGTTATTTTTCAAACTAAAATAATTAAAAAACTTAGATTTTTTTTTTTTTGTTAATTGAAAAAAAGTTAATTTTTAAATTTTTTGTAAAAATTTTGAATAGGTCTAATTTTTGAATTAGATTAATGAGTGGGTTTTAAATTTGTTTATTATTTGTTTGAAGTGGTTAATTATTAAATATTTTTAACAAAGCAAACTGTGTCTTTATATCTTGGAAAGATAATTATATTTTTTTTCAAATATCTTAACAACAATAATAATTAATTAATTATCATGGTTAAAGTGAAGTTAAGAAAGTTTTTCATCAGCGAAAAATTAATAGCTAGTGATTATTTATTTTAATGAAAAAATATTAAGAAAGAGGAAGTTATAAATAAAAATTTATTTCAAATTGATTAGCACAAATAAACAAAAAATACTTATAACTAACCTAAAAGCAACAATTTATCATATAAACAAAAATCTAAGAAAAGAAGCGCATAGATTTGCTTGATTGCACATTTAAAAACTTTAAATAAAAAAGAATAAAATCAAAGGTTATTTGAATCCAAACAAACAAACAAACATACAATCACAGATACTCAAACCATTTATTTAGGTTAGAAATATTTACTTTATAAATTACTTACTTAGCAAATTAGTTAGCGACATTTCTTGAGCAATTTCTAACTAAAAATATAGTTTGAAATGTGATGCAATCAATAAATCTAACATTATTTTTATCATTAAAAACAGATATAAAATGACTTCATTTTTACAACGCAGTGCCTAAAAAACCTAACTATCTCCTTCTAAAAGAAGCGCTGAAGATGTTTTTTCTGAATTCCGTAGTTTCCGTAACGAAACTAAGAGAAAGGCTGAGACTTCTCATTCCAAGTTAATTTTGGAGTCTCCTTAGTAAAGTGTAGGTGGTTACCAACCATTCGCATCTAATTCATTTGTCAGTGCAAAAAACACTACTTCATAAGTATTTTAACTAGGAGGTGGATTTATTCCTAACTCAAGACATGCTTCTAACATTTCTCCTAACAAGAAAGCAACCATTGGCATTTAATAGCACTCTCCTTAGAAGTCATACCTTTATAAAGAGAATTTACATGAATAGTGCCAATAGCATGCCTAGCACAATTCATAATTTAATCGTAGCGTAGTTAACCCAATTGCAAGCGGATTAGATAATTTGTAACGTGAAATCAAAGAAATTAGCTTCTCTAGTCACTTCAATCACTAGATTAACGCTGCTCGTCAATAAAGCAGAAAGAAACTAGCAAATTTGAGTCCTACATAAAAAAGCAATACTCCTCTTATTTCAAGTTAATATAGTCCAGCTCGCTCTAGCACTCTCAATTTGTTTGGCAGATAGTAAAATTCAAAGATTTTTGAATCTGCTTAATAACAGCAAGTTCAAATACCAACAAGCGGATTATCTTCTTTATATGCATCAAGCCAATTATAAAATTAATCTCCCTTCAAAAGAAGAAACTCATAGCAACCAAGAAGTTTGAATATCTTCAATTAAAAAGTAATAAGCTACTCTCCTACCAGATATTCCTAAAAGCTATTCAGTCCTAACAGACTTGTTAAGCGCCTTGGTTCCCCTGTTGATTCTCAGTTCCAAGACTTTGAATATCCTGCCACTCAAAACAGCCCATAAATCAATGTCAAGGGAACAAAATCAGCATTAACAACTTAAATTCCTGGGTCTTCTTCCCTAGGATCAGCAGCCTTCAACTTAAAGAGATCTAACTCAGCAAGTGGAAACAGCTTAAGTCAATTATTGAACCAAACAAAAAATAAAATTAAAAGCAATGGAATGGGTTATAATTTATCTCCTAAACCCTCTTTTGCAAACAGAGTTACCAACAATACCTAAATTAATTTGAACAACTCCTCATTCTTATCTCCTAATTCTAAGAACTAGGAAATATTCGGTTTCTCTAAAACTGCCTATCTCGTTGACAAAAGAGCTCATGATTTAGAGGATTATCTCAGCACTTTAAGCAATTCCGATTTCAGCTCTCTTCCTAGAGAAAACGTCGAATCCCTTATTAAATTGTCTTCTGTGATAATGTCTAAAGTGAAAGGTTCTACTTACTACAGAGGTAGTATTTTCTGAATAAATTATGAAAATTAATCGAATTGACTTTTGAGTGTATGTATGTATATCATATAATTTTGCATACATAAATACATGCATGAATTGTTTTTAATTGATAATTACTATTTTATAATATTAAAAACTAAATTTTCATTAATTCTTTCTAATAAAAAGAATCAGTGAATCAATTGATTTATCTTGTAAATTTTTATTGATTTTATTTAGTATTTTGTTTTAATTCTTTCTATCTTTCTTTGTTTATATATCTATCTATTTATCTTTTCAAAGAAAAGCACTGATTATATAATTAAATTTTTTTTCTTTTTTATGATAATAAATCTAAAACCAATTAAATCTTTTCTTCATTCATTCATTCATTCGTATCTTTTGTATCATTAATAACTTTTATTTGCTTACTTCATGCAAACCTCAAAAAATATCTAAAATTTATTAAACATATTAAAGCATTTATTCTAAACTTTTAGTAATAATTTTTGTTTTGCTTGAAGCAATTTAAAGTAAACTAGAATTTATCTTACATTTTATCAAAAAGAAATTAATTTTAATTTTTTAAATAAAACATTTGCCAAAGATATAAAAAAATTCAATTAAAGTTTTAGTCATTTAAAAGAAAAAAATACTTCGAAGATAAATATAAAGGGTTAATTAAGATTTATTTTTTAAAGAATAACATATTCTAATTAAAAAAATTATTTGTTATTTAGATAGCTTTTAATTGCTTAGAATTAAAGTTATTTTCTACTCATATTAATTAATTCTTATGAAATTAAAATTAATTTTTCAACAAATTCTTCATTTAACAATTTAAATAAATCCCAAAGATTTGATTTATCAAATATATAATTTTTTTTGATGATTATCTAAATAATTTCAATTTATCAATCATTTTATTGTTTAAGAAGATTTTTCTAAGTAATTAATTCTAAGATCAGTTTTACTTCTAAATGAGAAATTAGTTTCTGATATTGAAATATTTAAAAAGGAATAGAAAATTTATGATAGAAAATAAATAAGTGCTTGATACAAAATAATAAATTATGTTGTTATTATTATATATGTAGAATAATGATGCAAAGTAATAGATAAATAGATAGATAGATGCATAATTAATTTTAAAGCTAATTGGATTGATTGATAGATAGATAAGAATATAGTTAAAAATTAAGAGATGATTGCTGCAATTTAAAATTTAAGCACACTTTATAATTAACATTAAAATTTAATTTGCAAAAAATTTAAGAGTAAAAATTATTTATCTCTATAACTCTCTCTATCTCTCTTTCTCTATATATATATTTATTTATCTATCTATCTATCTATCTATCTATTTGCCTATCTTTTAATTAAGATAACATTTGGTGCTGTTTATCTTTTTTACAAGCTCATTTAATAAAGAAAAGATTTATTTGCTTGTGATATTAAAAATTAAATTAAAATACAAAGTTATTGAAATAAATGTATTAGAATTAGATAAATAATTTAAATAGGATTACTGCTTACTATGGGTATCCTTCTAACAATACAAATAGCAATACCAAGAATTTTGATGATTCCAACAATGCTTCTTTATATTCGGTTCGAAAGACAGGAGATGACACTCTAAATAAATCATAGTCAAGTCCCAAGAGTCCCAATACAAGTGAGATTTTGATATAAAATATTGGTGGAAAAGTTGGTGATTTAAGCAAAGAAGTATCAAGACTTATGTAAATTAATGATAAGTTAATAGCTGACATTTCTGCTTTAAATACACAAAATCATAACAAAGATTTTTTGATAAAATCACTTCAAGAAAGGCTTAATCTAATTGATAGCAGCAGTAACAGTGCTAGGTTAGTTTAAAACGCAAATTAATAATAGATTATTGATTACAATTAGTATTAAATTAATCATTCTAAAATTTAAGAGAAAGAAGATGTCTTTTAGTAGTAAAAAATAACAAATATAAACACTTTGTAGCCACGCTCTGGCATAAGCCCAAATTTATATGTGAATAACATGCTAAATCCGAATTAAAATTAGAATGTAACTAACTTAGACGGTAAAGAAGATAATTAGCGTTATTTATTAAGTAGCCTTTAGGTTAATACAGATGTAGCTGAAAACACAACTAATTTTTTATTCAACAGTGGTTTTTCTTAATCTGGGAAAAATTCAGCCAAGCACGCTCAATAGGTCCAGTAAATTTCATATGAAAAAACCAACGGATATAATTAGAATTAGACTAACAATATTACTTCTCCTTGGAGTTTATATTAGTAAGATGAGAAAGTTAATTAAATTTAAATGAATGCTCCTTCATTCAGCAATAACAATGCAACTATAAATAATGTCAACAATCAAGCTTTTAATGATTAGCAAATAATCAGAAATTCTCAGCAAAACAAGTAGCTAATGTTAGCTTCATTTTAAGATAAATAATCAGCTTCGTCTGAATAAGTGAATAATTTTCAGTCTCAATTTTCACTCTTTCAGGAAGAATTAGAAAATGTCAAGAGGGAAAAGGCTCAATTAGAGATGAATTATAATGACTTGAAATAAAAGTATGAAGATTAGCAAAAAGAGCATGCAAGAGAAATAGCTTAATTAAAAACAAACATGTTTAACAGTGTGGTAGAAAGTGATAATTACAGTAAATATGATGAAGATCCACTTTTTAACATTGAAAACATAAAGAAATAACTTGATAAAAATACTAGTGAGTTAGTTAAATCAATAGAAATAGATGAAAAAATGATTGAAGGAAGATTTAATAAGAAGGATAATACAACAAATATCTTTAACAATAATTCATTTAGTGCCTCCAAAGAAAAATTTATTTAAAAAAGCAGTACATCAAACAAATTTTAAGGCGTTTCAGACCATCAAACTAACTTGGTTGTCTCACAAGAAATCCCTTCTAACAAGAATTTAGATAAAATGGGTCATTCATAACAAAATATTGTGGTATCTAGCGAGTTTGAAAAGACCGATTTTAAGAATAATTAAGAATAATTCATCAAAAGAAATAGTTTGAAATAAGGAACTCTAAACGGAGTTAATTTGCATAAAGATAACACGCATTTAATTGATATTTTAGATTAGCTAGAATAGGCTAAAAAAGAAAATACAAATCTGAAATATGAGCTCAAGTTAGTTAAAGAAGAATTGTTATTTATTAGCGCTAAGGATACATAAGCCCACAGCAAAAATGAGTAGCTAAGAATAATTGTTGCAAAGTTTAAATTAGAGCAGGAGGAAGAAATAATGAAATTCAAAATTCAAAATGAAGAGCTGCAAAGTGAGTTAAAGAAGCTCAATTCTTTAAATAAAAATCTTTAAAATGAAATCATAAAGTTAAAAGAAGGTCTCCAAAGTCATTAACGCTCTTCTACAATCATGGATGAAAAGACTCTTGAGAATCTCTTTGATTCTGAAATCGAAAGTGAAGGAGAAGACTTAGAAGACGATGGCTATGGTGACAGAGACTCTAAACAAATAAGAAAGCATAAAAATGATATATTAAATACGATGACAAACAATGAAAAAATATACAATAAAATTGTTTATCTGAAACGCAAGAATCGTCGCTTAGAAGATTAACTTGAAGAATGGAAAAGATAATATTGGTTGCTGGAGAAATCTACATAAAACAACAATTACCAGAGTCAGAATAACAACAATAAAAATAATAATAACAACAAGAAGCCAAATAACAATAATTAAAATCATCCTCCATAATTAATTTAGTAGAATTCTTAAGGGTCAAGTCAGGAGAAATCTTCATTGTTTGAATTTAATTTCTCATAATTTTTGCAATACCAGCAAAGAGCCAGCTAAGAAAGTAAAAAGTAAGTCCTACAACAAGTATAACAACTACCTTAAGAAATGAATGAAATAAATGAGATCTCTGAAAACACCTAAAAAGAAAATAAATTAGATAGTTCTACTTTCTCTAAGAATGAAGCCATTTCATAATGTGACACTCCTGCTATAGGAATTTCAGTCAACTAAGGAAAAGCTGAATAAACTACTCCATAAATGAATTTTGGTAGTCCTTCGAACGAAGTTACCAACCCGAAAAGTAATAAGAACAACTTAATTGACTACACCAACATTAGTAACTTGATCATTAACTAATAATAAAATAATATACAACAAGAAAAATCAGCTTCGTAGCTACAGACTAAATAAAATGATTTCACTAATATTTCTCCAAAATCAGCAAATCTGAACAATAACAAAATCAATTTTAGCAACGAACAATTTTATAAGCAGACATCATTTAGCAACTATAACCCATACAGTTTAAATAGTAATTACTAAATTTAAAAGATCGATCAATATCTGTATAAACCTGTGACATAATTTAGCCCTTCATAAAAAATTCCAGATTAAATTTAAAGCCAGAACGATTAAATTAATAATCACATACATCAAATAAAGGAAGAAAAGAAATAACTTGAAAAAGGAGTCATATCTACCATCAAAGATATCCGAGATTAAGTAAATTAGCTTTAAAAGAGAAAAATCAAGAATGCTCCTTAGTTCTAATCACATTAATAATAAATAATTAATCAAATTACTAAACAAAACAATAAGTTGTAAGTCTAATAACAGAATACAACTTCATAAAAAATATTTAATGATTAGCTCTATCAAAATAAAACGTTGAACTCAGATTATTAAAAATAACATCAATCAACATCAGGTTTAATTCATCTTGAGCAAAAAACATCTAACTCTACTACTAAAGTTTCACACTTGATTAATAACTTTAAAAAGCTTAATTTGGAAAAATCTCAATCTCCTATTATAACTTCAGATCAAAAAAATAACAACTTGAATTAGACCTCTATAAATAGTAATAACACTAGCTAAAACATTGGTAACTTTACTTGCCAAACTGATAGATAAATTCTATATAATAATAGCAACTAGAACAATGTTCAATCTTAACCATCTCTAAACCAAATAAATTAATACTAGCTGACTAATTAGTAAAAGAATCTAAACAAAATAGCGTAAACTGCGGCTACTACTCCAAAAATGTCAAATACAAAACAATCTACTTCTGTCCATTATGCCTAAAACAATTAGCAAATTTAACAATATCAATAAATTAAATAAGTTTTGCACACTCAACCTAATTTAACAAATCATTAAGAAAAGACTAATTTCAATAATAGACAAAGTGCAAACTTAAGCTACGAAACAACAAAATCATAGATGAATAATCTAAACAAAAGTACATCACCAATAAATAGCACAAAAACCTACCCAAAGCAAATCGAGTAAAGTTACAGTAACAACTTCATATATTAAAAGACAAAATTTAACCAAAGAATCAAAGATAAATACAACTGAATAATATTTTTTTGTTTATTTATATAAATTAAATGTAAATATTTATTAATTTACTTTCTTACTTACTAAATAAAAACAATTATCTTAGCAAATCATTTAATTGTTTTTACTTATTATCTAATATGTTCTTGCAAGGAACTTAATGTAAAAATAAAATTTATTTAAGAATGAATGGTTTTGTAAAAGTAATATTTTATTTATTATAAAATGTGTATCAACCATTTTATTTGACCAGTAGAATTTAATAAATCGGATTAATTTTATTTTAAATTTAAATTAAAATATTATCAAAAGAAAATTAGTTCACAAAAATATAGATACTTTCTTAAATCAATAATACTGCATTTACATTAATAATGTGACTTTAATTTAAGGTAGAAAAAATTTTTATTATTATTTTAATTTTCTGAAATAAAAAAAACCTTCAAGTATTGTTTCGGATCTCTGAATAGAGAAAATATGTATATATATTATAAATAGATTAATGAATAGTAAACTATTTATCGATCTCATAAATCTTCATATAAATTATAAAATATTAATTTAGGATTAAGAGGAATTTAATCAGCTAAGTGCTTTTAAAAAGCAATATTTTAAATTATTTATATTTAATATCTTTTTAGCTTCTACTTTTACTATTTTTAATAACTTTTTTCAACTTCAAAATAAATCTCCTTCATTATTTCATCTTCATTTAGGCCAATTTAAAATTAAGAGTGATCAAACTTTACATCACACTCATCAATATCATCCAAATCGTATAAATCTTCAAAGTATGGATGTTGTAAGCATTCTTTCACAGTATAGCGCTTATCTTCATTGAAAACGAGCATTTTATCTAATAGATCACATAATAAAGGATTTGCATCTGGAAATACATCCTACCAAGATTTTTTACTATATTTAATGATATATTAATACAAACCTTTATAATCTTAATATTATAAAAGTTCCTCTCCTGAAGGAGTTCCTATGTAAGAAAAAATAGCATTTATAAGTCCCAAATAGCCTCCACCAAGCTAATTAGAAAGATTGGAAAAGAAAGTATCTCTATTAATTAGCCCTAAAATAATTACTCCAACATGCCATATATCAGTTTTAGATAAATTTTTAGGTAAATTTAAAATTTATTATGGAGATAAGAAATAGTCACTCGTTATATATTATGAATAAATTTCATTAGGGAAATTAGTACCTATAAAACGGCTTATTTTCAAATCGCAATTTTTATTTAATAATATATTAGAAAGTCTCAATTAAGTGTGGTAAACATTTTAGGAATGCAAAAAAAAAAGAGCGCTTAATATTTAATAAGTAAAATATTAGATATGATCATCAGTTAATTCTTATTTAGAGAAATTAACTCTATGCAAATCTGTATCAATGAACTCTCTTACTATGTAGAGATTTTTAGATTCCATCATTATATGTAGATTAGAAGAAATATTTTCATGCTTAAAATGGTTTTCTATTTTTATTTATCTAATTAGTTAATTCATATAAATCAAATCATCATTTTCAATTTTTATTACTTCAATTATTACTTTTTATCCATATTCTTGATCAATCGCAGTGAAAGTAGGATTAAAACCAAAGCCTATTTATTTTAAAATTCGATATCTTTTCTCTATCTTATAAACACTAGTATAATAATTAAAAGAATGTAAATCGTTTTCAGTGTATTAAAATGACAAAAATCTTAAAGGATTTTATTAACTAAAAGCCTATAATTGAGATTGAGATAATGAATCAAAATTAGAAAGGTTCTACATTTTTATAAATTCTAATACTTATTTTTGTTATTTAATTAATTTGTTTTTTTTTCTTCTGAATTTGATATTTAAGTAGTGATTTATTTATAAGTTCTCACAAAATATCTAATAAATCTCTCTATTAATAAATAATACTAATATATTAAAAATATAATTTTTAATTATTTATCAACACTACTTGCTTAATTTTGAAACCCTATTTATTTAAATTTTATATATTCTTTCTAAATAAAAAAATTTTCATTAAATTTTTAAAATAATTTTTTATTATTCTTCTAAATATTTATTTGCTACATTTAAAATAATTATTTGAGAATAAAAAAATATATATATATATATATATTTAGATATATTATGAACAAATTACAAGGACTAATGAATAGTAGTAAACTATTTATTCGATCTCATAAATCTTCATATAAATTATAAAATATTGATTTAGGATTAAGAGGAATTTAATCAGCTAAGTGCTTTTAAAAAGCAATATTTTAAATTATTTATATTTAATATCTTTTTAACTACTACTTTAAACAACTCTTTTCAACTTCAAAATAAATTTCCTTCATTACTTCATTTTTACTTAGGCCAATTTAAAATTAAGAGTGATCAAACTATATATCACATTCATAAATATCCTCCTAATAATATATATCTTCAAAGTATGGATGTTGTAAGCATTCTTTCACAGTATAGCGCTTATCTTCATTGAATACAAGCATTTTATCTAAAAGATCATATAATAAAGGATTTTCACGTCGAAATACAACCTACCAAGGTTATTTCCTATAAAAAGGGAGTGATAATAACTCATTATACTATTATTTATAACCTTTTTCTAATAACAAGTCCAAATCCTCTTTTGAAGGAGACCCTATGTAATAAAAATAATTTGTTAGAAGTCCTCCAGAAGCTGAACAACAAAAGTCGGAAAATATATTTTTTATTTAAAATAGCTCTAAAATAATTACTCCAACATTCCATATATCAGTTTTAGAGAAATCTTCAGGAAGTCCTAAAATATAGTATGGAGATAAGTAACTATTAGTATTAATATATTTTTTATCAAAATCATTAGGGAATTTAGCACCAAGAAAATCACTTATTTTCAATTCGCAATTTTAATTTAATAAAATACTATCACGTTTCATAACGTAGAGGTAAACATTTTAGGAATGCAAAAAAAAAGAGCTCTTAATATTTAGTAAGTAATACATTAGATATGATCATTATCTAAATTTTGAGTCATCATAACTCTGAACAAATTTGTAGGAATGAACTCTCTTACTATGTAGAGATTTTTAGATTCCATCATTATATGTAGATTAGAATAAATGTTTTCATGCTAAAAATGGTTTTCTATTTTTATTTATCTAATTAGTTAATTCATATAAATCAAATCATCTTTTTCAATTTTTATTACTTCAATTATTACTTTTTATCCATATTCTTGATCAATCGCAGTGAAAGTAGGATTAAAATCTCTTATTTATTATAAAATTCGATATCTTTTCTCTATCTTATAAACACTATCACCATTATTAAAAGAATGTAAGTCGTCTTCAGTGTATTAAAATGACATTATGTTATCTAATTAATTTATTTATTTATTCAAATTTTGATATTTAAGTAATCATTTATAAGTTTTTACAAAATATCTAAAAAATACCTCTATTTATTAATGAGCAATTATTATGATATTTAAAAGATAATTTTTTAATTATTTATCAGCATTGCATGCTTAATTTTAAAATCCAATTTATAAAAATTTTTAATAAAATAACAATAATAGTTACTATATTTTTTTATTTTTCAAAAATAGGCATCATCCCTTTATCAACCCCTCTCTTCATTTCCAAAAAAGCAGTTTGTTTTTTATAATTATGAAGGGAATTATGTAAATAAAAAAATTTTAGTTAATTGTTGAAACAAAAATAAAAAATAACAGTAAGTGTTTGAAAATAAGTAATTAATGAAAACCTTTTTTTTACAATAAATAATAAATGATAAGTTTTTGACCATTATTAAATATTTTCAGATATTAAAAAAAGGAATTTAATTGGATTATTTTTATATTAAATGAAAATTAATTGTATTGAAGAAATGAAAATTAATAAGATGTTTTAATAAATAAATGAAAAGAATTAAATATTTCAACGATTTTTAAAAGTGTATTATTGGTAGCTAAAATGGAATAATCTATTTATTTATTGAATAGTTGTTTTTATTTATGAATTATAATAACAAATAAAATATTCGTTAATTAACTAAATAAGTAAATAAATAAATATCATATTTATGGAGATAATTTAGTTTACAACATATTTTGCGGAAAAGAAAGAAGAAGTTGTTTTTAAGCAATTAAAATTAAATTGTATTAATTTTTTTATTAGAAGAAAGATTAATTAATTCAATTAATATTCTTAACCTTATTTAGTTTATTATAAAAATGTTTAAGCCTCAAAGCCCAGTAAGTCTTAAATATGAAAAAAGCAATTTAAGCGAATAAAAAGATGATGGGCAAACAAAAGATATAGATTAAAAGTAGCTTAAAAGTCTTGAAGAAGATCACACTTCTTTATTGAAGAAATATGAGCAACTTTCTAAAACAAAATAAGATGGATTTGCATTAAATTCAACTGTTGAGGCGCAATAATAATATTATTCAAAGGATTTAAATTAAAGATCAAATACTCCAAGCAAATTGAGTCAGTAAGATCAGTATCAAACAGCTAAATAGCTAATGTAGATTGCAGATTATGCGTTGCAAAATGAAAAGTCAAAGGAAGAAAGGATATTGTAGCAGCTTGTCGAGGATTACAAGGTTACGAATCGTGATCTAAGCACAAAATTAGATTAAGAGAGACAAGAGGTTCTAGATCAAAGGGTTAAGATCCATGCACTAGAAACAGAAATAAAATTTTGTAAAAAAGAGAATTAAAGACTTACTTCCATGATAGAAAATATAGGAACTAAGAAGAGTAGCATTTTGAATTAAAATATACAAGGTAATTCTTCCAACAATATTATTTTTAGCGGATCTTCGTTTGGAGAAATACCAAATAATATATCTAATAATTCAGAAAAGCAGGAGAACCCAAATGAGAGTCAAAAGAGGCAATGGGAAAGTAGAATTTTGTAATTAGAGGAGTAAAATAGCCAACTAACACAAGAAAAGCTAGCTTTGCAGCACTAGAACAGGGTTATGGAGGAAAGATTATCAAGTATAGGGAATGAATTAGAAATATTGAAAAACATTCAACAAGCTATGCAGTTAAAAGACAAAAAGCAAGCCAAGGATGAAATTAATGCTAGAGAAATTGAAATTTAACAGCTCAAAGAGAGCTTAACGAAGTTGAAAAATGAGAATTAAGAACAAATGTATTAATATCAACAGAAAATTAGCTTAAAGAACACAGAAATTGAAAAAATGCTTGAATTGAATAGCGTTTTATAGGAATAATTTTTACAAATGGAAAAAAAATTATAATAAAAAGAAGAATTTTTGCAAAGTAAGCAAGACAAACAATAATTTAATGAAGAGAGAGAACAGATATTAGTTAAAGAGAATGAAAAGCTTAATATTGAGTTAGTAAATATGAATAATTAAGTCAAACAGTTGAATGAGCAGATACAGCTCAAGTCAAGTAAGCAATAAATTGAATTTATTCAATTATAGAAAGATTACTAGCTTATAGTTTAAGAAAAAGAAGCTCTTATTGTTTAAGCGAGTGGGTAGCAGGAGACTATATAGATGCTCAACTAGCAAATTGCAATTTTAGAAAGAATATCTAGTGAAAATAATAAGACCCAAAACTCAAAGAAGCAGTCTGAAGAGAAGACTCTAAGTTTAGTCAAAAAGGACTTAGAGGATTCAAAATAAAAGCAATTATAGCAGAGCAAAGAAATGGATTTATTAAAAGATCAAAATGATAGATTATAAAAGTAAATCAATTTAATCGAAGAAGAAAATTAGTGCTTAAAGATGACAAAGGCTGATACAGAAGATAAAAACACTGGACTTAATTCAGATAAGAATAACTATTTATAGTTAATTGATTAGCTTTAAAGTGAAATTTGCTAATTGAATGCGACGCTTGAAGAAAACTAAAGAAAAAACTAAGAAAAATAAAAATAGCTCAACGAAACTATTCAGATTTAGAAAAACGAAATAGGGAATTTGTAGTCAATTAATGCAATGTTTGAGAAGCAAATTTTAACCATTCAAAATTAGCTCAAAGATAAAAAAAATGAAATGGAAACAAAGTCGCTGGCCTAAAATAGCAATGTCAACGAACTTAAATTTTTTGAAGAAAGGATAGCAAATTTGCAAAAGCAAAATGACCTCTATAGCTAAAAAATACAAGCCTTGGAATCTAAATAATAGTAATTGAGCAGAGACAGCTCATAAAAAAGAGCGTCTGCTCTTAATTTACTAGAAGAAGGAATACAGAGATCGAATTCAAAGTAAAACATAGCAGCAGCAGCTCACGATGGAGAAGAAAAGTATAAAATTATTTTAAAGAATTATAACCAAATGAGTGAATAGTGCTCAATGCAATTAAAGCAAATAGATATTCTTAATTAAACAATATAAGAGTTATAAAAGACAATCAAATAATAAACTTAGCAAATGTAAAAGAATAATTAAAACCTATAAATACCGTCTACTTCTGATTTTTAAGATTACCAAGAACCATCAAAGAAAAAACTCTACTTGGAATTTAATTCTAAAGAAGGTTTATCTGAAAATAACCTTGATAACAACTACTCTCCAGAAAAAATTCTAATTTAAGATTTGGAAGTTTTGTAAGATAACAGCAAGTTGAGAAATACAACAGATTAAGAGAAATAAACATTAATAGTAAACTTATAGAAAGAGAATAAAAGGTTAGTTGAGAAAATAGCTTCAGTTGAATTAGCCTTTAGTTAATTAAATTAGAAAGTAGATGGTCTTACAAGATAAAACTAAAATAATTTGAATTTAAATAATCTAAACAGCAGCAACAACTTGCCTCCTCTTCCCTACCCAACAACTCCTGTTATGACATAAAACAACATGATATTTTCAAAGTAGTTTAAATCTTCAGAAAAGCCTCCATCGACTCCTCTTCAATTATCCAATTAAAAGAACTTATTAGAAAAGGATTTAGCTAATTCATCAAAAAAAAGACATAAAATATTTGAACCATATGGTACAAATAGAGTAAAATTGAATAATAGTATAATCAGAAGTTAATAAAATTTTAAAATAAAAGAGACACTAGTCATCAGATAGGAAATCCCCAAACACTAGATACTTAAACAATAGTGTAGAAGGTAACCCATAAATTTAGACTAGCAATTATTAGAGCTTCAATGGTTCTCCAAGTCGTTCATATCAAGACGGTTTTGGGCATAAAAGGTAGCACACGCTCCCAAACGCCTTTAAGTAAAAAAATAAAAATAAAAAAATTATTAAAATCTATTTTAAAAATATAAAGCTCTTAATAAAACTTTTTTGTTGACCAAAGCTAAATAAATTATAATTCTAGAACAAAGTAATAAGAAGTAAAAAGGCCTAATTCATTCTATTAATAAAACCAATCTTTTAAACCAGATTAAAAACAAAACAAAAATGTTCAAAATGAAGAATCTGTGCTACTTTTCTCACCAATAAACTGTAAGAAAACATCAACATTCAATAAATAAATTTATTAAATTAAAAAATTTGATTCAAAAAATAATAAATTTCTTTAAAATTCGAAGATTTAAAATCACTAAAAATTATTTTTTTTGGATGTAAATTTTAAATAGCAAAATATTAATTTGAATTATTTAAATATTTTGTTAACTTTGTTCTAAAAATACAAATTTTATTATTCAAAAAGTGATTGATAAAAAAAAAGCTATGTCATAGGATGATACAGAAGATTTACTATCAAATGGTTCTATTGATAACCAAATGAAATAAATCATTTATCCTCATTTAAATGTCTATGAATATTATGATTAGATGTAAAATAATGGTAGCCAGTGTATCAGTTTGTAGATAATAAAATTTGATAGAAGTCTATTCTCGTAGTACGCTATGTCGAAGGATAATTTGCTTAAATATAAGCAAGCTATCTTTTTATAGAAGATTGTTTACTTGGAAACGAAAGAAGGACTGTAAATTGGATGCATTAGCTAGCAAGAAAGAGACCAAGATTAAATTTATTTAAATTTAAATCTTTACTATAAAAACTTGGCCTAAACCCCTATAGATTAACTTTATGTAACACTTACAGGATCAAGCACTTGCTAGGCTTTTGCAAAACCAACTGTATCTAATTGGTGCTTATCTCCGAACAACTAGTCTAAATAAGAGCTCTTCTTTAAATTTAACTCAATTCCATTTGGTCCAATCTAGGCTGAAATTGTTTACCAGTAAAAATAAATCAATAAATTATTAAATAAATTGTTTTTATTAGCATGAAAAGTGCTTAGTTAATTAAATAAATTTTATAAAATTAGATGCAAAGATATCAAGAAAAAATTTTAGTTGCACATGCCAGTAAATATTTTAAAATTTTTAGAACAAAGAACTATTTAGGCTGATAGATTGCTCAGTAAATATTTAAAAATAAAGTTGAATCCAAAAAATACTGCCAAATTACAAAACGGATTTATTTTAAAATCAGAAAAATTCTATTTAGACAGAAAATTTGCGTTGAATATAAATGATTTTGCTTAATATTTGCCTCACTTCTAACGTATTCCTCAAATCGATAAGTTAGGAGAGTTTATGATGGGTGGCAATGATTTCTAGCTAGGAGGAAGCTATTTGCTGAGAGAAAATAATTTAATCTTTTATATGATACTAACAATAAAAACAAACAAATTTGCAATTTTTGAAATATTTAGTGAGTCTAACAATCAAAACAATATAACCATTTGTGAGAATATCCTTCAAAATTTTGTTTATATTTTTATAAACCCTGATAATTGAAATCAATTCAATCGATAGATCTAGACCTTAACTTTGAATCGTTCTATTATAACGCAATTAACATAATTAAAATAAAATAGAATGCTTTCGTCATAGTTAAAATTTTTTCAAAGCAAAATCCATATATTCAAAATAATAACAAAGAGTAAAAAAATAATTATTTCGATCTTCTTGCATAAATAAATAATTAAATCAATTATTATCAACAAATTCTCAAAAAAAAGTTGGTATTAATCCAACAATTATCTCATTTAGTCACATAATACTTTTTTAAATTAGATTTCCAAACACAAATAAAAATAATAAATTAAAAATAAGAAACAAAAAAAACTTATAAAAAGTAATTTTCTTTCTTACTAACAAATAAATAAATAAATACATAAATAATTTTACTCAAAATTGTATCATTTAATGTCTATAAAAAAAAAATAAATATATGTCTTACTAAAAATTGTAATTAATAAATTTTTAAATTTTAAATTTAAAAATCAATCTTATAAATTACTTGTAAACAATCATTTAAAATTAATTACAATCAATCTCTATCTCTGAATTACTTTTTTAAAATCTTGATTTTACCTTTTAGTTTTACTCGAAATTTTATAATAGAAGAATTGATTTATCAATAATTGACGCTATTAAGCAATCAAACATAATAAATATTGAAGTAATAGATAAAATTTTCATTTATAATATTATGAAAGATATTTTGAAGACTTTTACATTTTTTGAAAAGAAATAAAATTTTCTAAACAAAATCTAATAAGTAATAAATGAATAAAATAAATATTTTATATTATTATTAAAATTATAAGTATAAAGCGGAGCTCAATTTTAGTAGATTTTTTACCAAATATCCTAAACAAAATCTAAACAAAAAATATTTTATAAGATAAATATATTTATATCTAAAAATTAATCAGTTTATTCTTTATCAATTACAATTATCATTAATATTTAAAATGAATAGAATGAACTAACAAAATTAAAATTTTTTGGTCAAGGCTAGAATAAATTTAAAGTTTTCAATATTAAAAAAAATTCTAGACTATTTTCGAAGTATTAATTAAATGTTTGTTTATATTAATTTGAAGTTAATTTTAACCGTAAAAACATTTTTATTTATAAAATTAATAAATTAAATTTATAAATAAAAGTAATTAATATTGAAAAAATACTTGATTCAATTTTATAATAAATAATAAAGAAGAATTGTTTAAAAGAATTAGCAAAATATTATTATATTAAATACAAAATATGAATAGCACAAATATACTTAATTTATTTATATTTATAAGCGCATTTAATCATACTAGGATAGGTCTAAAAATCATAAAATCATTAGTGTTTTTTTATATATTTAGTTTAAGTGAATGTTTTTAAATGGTTTTTTGTTTGTTATTATAGAGTTTATGAGTAAAAAATTATAATAAATTTCTAATAAAATAATAAATTAGCTTTTTATTATTTTTTTGATATAATTTATAAAGAAATTTTATAAATTTCTTTGTTATCTGGTCAGTAATGAATACTTATATATAAAGTAATTAGTATATATTAATAAATAATAATGTTAATAGCTTTACTCTGTTTGAAAGACTTTTAGAATAGTAAGTAAGTAATATATCAAAAAAAAAGGCAGTCAGGTAAACTAATACTTTAGATTAATAAAGAGTAGATAGATCAAATAGAATTATTGCATATAAAGGATTTATTCAATATAAATCTGAGATCACCAAAGCTGGTTAATAATTGTGTACAAGAGTTTTGGCGAGAGAATTCAGATTTATTCGAGTGTCCTTACAAGCAAAGTTCGTTCTTCAATTTTGGCTATAGTTTTCTTAGCTATTATTGCTGCTTTGATCTTCACTGTCGAAATCTTCTGAATCAATTTCAATATTGAAATACTTTTGTAGCAATTCAGAGCACTATTACTTGATTTCAGTCTAAACTTCTGAGCTAGTTGATAGTTATTTCAACAGTTTACTAATTCCGTTAGTTTCTAAATGGTGAGTTAGTAGAGGAGAGTTGTTTTTTTTGCCATATTCAAGCAAAAGTTCAATTTATTTGATCGATCTTAGCTGGTATTCTTCGTTCTTTAGCTTAAGAGTCTTTTTGTATTTGACAAGAATGTCATTAATTATTTTGCAGTTGATCAAAAAAAGCTTGTTATTGTCATCTGAAAACATAAATGAAAACAAAAAGTTGAGAGAATCTAGTATTTGTTGAGGATATTCAAGCTTTTAAATGCATCTTTTCAGTGATTAAAGTTAATTTAAAGTAAGGTTTAGATCAAACAAATGGACAGTGTCCAAAGTTGGAGCAGCTCCTGTATTAATTGATTTGTTATGATTGTACATACTTTCCAAGAGGGAAATCACTTCAAAAGGATATCTTTCGCTCTCATTCGATGTGAGCTGCTGCTTTATTCTATCGCTAAATTGCTTAATCTTAGAGGCATCAATATCCTAGCAAAATATCCTCTCTCTAAAGTTTGTATACTCGCTCTTTAATTTGTCCATTTTTTTTAATTAATTGAATTCTATTTGTTTGTCTGTCTGTCTGAGTTTTGTTTGTTTATTTGTTTATTTGTTTTTTTATATTTTTTTTGTTTTTAATTAATATTTTGTATGTATGGTAGGAGTATTCTATTTGTATGTTTACTACTTTTTCGCGAAATATTAGGGAAATATCAAAGAATTATTAATCAATATTGATTTTTTGTCTTTTTTTTTTTTTGATGACTTATTTTTTTTGGGTAAATTTATTATGCTTAAAAAATTTTTTAGGTAGTAGAAATTTAAAGCTTTCTTTGCTAATCCAATGAATAATTAATTAATTCTAAGTATAAAGTCCTATTACTTTTATTAATTTTTTTCTTTTCTCATTTTTCATTAGGTGTTTGATACATTTTTAAAAAATTAGCAGACAACCTTTTTAATTATTCAGAGTGTGTTATATGTTTAAAGTATTTGTACAAAGAAAAGTAAATTACATGCTATAATTAAATCTTATATAAAGTAAACAATTTAGATGTAAAAGAATTACTTTAATACTTTTAACAAACTTTCAGCCTAAAATCATGATATATTTTTAAAACAAAATTTTATTAATAAATGAAAGATAAAAGATTCATAAAACCTTCCTTAAGTTACTTACTGCATAGATAAATTGAAATAAAATTTACTTGAAACCAATTTTAGAAAGCTCTTACTTTTTTTTCTTTCTTCTTGAAATTCAATAAGATATTTTTAATATCATTTTTCTATTTCTATTTATTCAATTTGCCTTTCAATGGATTTACATATATTATTTTTAAAAAAAGAAGAGAGAGACATGATAAAAGTGATTGATTTATTGATAATAAAGGGGTTAATTGATTTCTATTTTATTATTTTTTTTGAAAATAAATTTTCAAAATTAAAATTATCTTAGTATAATATCATTAAATCCATTAAATTTCATAAAATTGGCTAGTAAATTAATATATAAATCGTTTTTACAGATTTATTTTATTCTTCTAATGAGAGAGATAAAAATAGCCTTATTTCTAATAATAATATATATATTAGCTAATGTAAAATGTTTCTACACTGAAAAAGTAAGTATTTAAGGTTTATTAATTTGAAATAATATTAAGTAGAGTTATTTTTAAACAAAAAGAAATGTTAATTTATTCAAAATATTATCTTTATAATCAGTATAAAAAAATTTTTAAGTAGACATCCTTTCTAACAATATTTTTAACCTCTTAGCAAAACTGCTTTTGTTTTAGGATTGCATCAAATCAGAAAATAAATTTTTACGCTTTTAATTGAGATAATTAAATCTAAGTAAGCATTTCGAATTTTATTCAATAGTAAATTAAAAATATATTTAGATTTTTATAGATTTTATTTTACCATTAAAATAATTTATAAATAAACAATAATATTATGCCAATAATAGCAATTTAAAATTATATAAATCAAGTAAATTTTGTAATTCAGATTATTATATACCACGTGATTCTTTTAATTATGTTGTATATATAGATTTACAATTTAAATGGAAAAATTTTACTTTAATTTTATTAGGTTATTAAGTAAATATTTGATATAAAAATATTTATTTAGTTAATTATGGTATACTAATTTTATAAATACAAATCATATTAATTTGAATATTTTATTTTAATAATTTTTCAGTTAACATTTTTTAACGAATTAATAAAGTAAATTTATAATTAAGGAGATAAAAGTATTTGTTTATTTTTATTATAATTTCAAACTAAAATAATTTGTATAATAACATTTCAAATAAAAAATAAATGAAAATGTATTTTTCATTTTAAGAAAGATAGTTTTTATAAACGTTTAAAATGAAAAATAAGTTAATAAATAGATATATTATTTTTTCTTTTTCATTAATGTTTTTATTTATTGGTTGTTTGAATAACTCATATTTTATTAGATTTACATCTTGCACCAAACTTTAATTTAATGATTGTTTGTGTTTTGATAAATTAAATTTCATTAAGATTTTTAAATTTAAATTAATGTTGGAAATTAATTTATCAATTTTAGAAAAGAGATATTTCGTTTGTATAGAAATCTGTTTTTATCAGTCAGTTATTAAAAAAAATAATCATTGATAAAAATTACTATGTCATTTTAAATTTTTGTATTGCTGGATTGTGAAAAGTGTTAAAAATAATATAAAATTAATTTATAAAAAATGCTGTTATATAAATTATATAGGAAATTTTAGTAATGGAAGTATTTATTTATTTATAAATACTTATCTCTCTCTTAGATAATTTTATTTTCATATAAACTCAATATTCTTTTTCAAAATTTAAAAAAAAAAAAAACAAATTTGAAAGGATTTGCCCTTTGGGTTTATTTAACTAATTGATTGTTAGAATTCATTCAAAATATTTATAAAATCAAACATTTAGAAATCAATATAAAGCTTTATTGTTTTAAATAACAATAATTTATTTAAACTTTTATTTGCATTATCCAAGTAGTAGATATTTTAAGCAATGGATATAGAGAGAAATTATTTGGCTGAGCCATATGCTGATGTAGAAAAAATAATAAGTAAAGCTGCTCAGGAAGGTATCGGTAAAACTGATAGCTGCTTAATCGCTATGATGCTTGATAAATACAACTTTACAAATGTACATTTAATCAAGGAATTGATTAATAATATTTGTTAATTTAAAGACTAAATTGTAGCAAAATATACGGAAAAGGGGCTGGGTATTTACATGGTTGATCTCCTTTTTGAGCTTTACTTTATGGTTAAATAGTAAAGAATGCACATCCTCGTGGCTGTCAATAAAATCAAGGAACTACTCAATTCGAGTAATGAACTACAGTTTCCTCTCTAATAAAAAAATAAAGAGAAAAAAAAATAAATTTATCATTAAATAATGCAATTGATTTAATTAAACTGCAAAAGATTCAATCAAAAGTAGATACATTATGATGTCTTCTTGCAGTCTTATTGGATGTGCGATAAGGTAGAGTGTCAAAGTATTTTAAGTCTCATGGATTAGGTTTCTTAAAGCATTTTTGAAGTAGAAAAATAAGGCTAGAATAAAGACACTCCCTATAATAAATTTAAAGCTATGACTAAATTCGATATAATATACTTAAATGAGTATCTTTAACCAAAAACTGGGAAGAATGTGATCAGAAAAGAGCAAAAGCAGTTGTACCCCACTAGAATTAAAACAGAAAACGACATAGTAACTCATTACGATTTAGATGCCTTCAGACATTACCAATAAGATAAAGAAAATGAAAGAAGAAATGTAAATCAACAATAAAGATAAGATATCCATAGCAGAGAAAGGTAATTCGAAAAACCTTATGAGTAAAATAAGAATCAAAAACAAAATTATTTATCAAAAAATGAGTAAAATGATAAAATTAACTAATTAAAATAGAATGATAAAAAGTATTAGATAATAAATATTTAGAAAGTCTAATACCAACAACCTTAATAGTAATGCATAGATATTCAACCTCAGATTCATAAAATTTTAAATTAAAAGAAGGAAAGAGATGTTTCTCCTATCCAATAATAAATTAAAAGAATTCAATCAGAAAGCAACTAGGAATAACAGCCAAACACTCCAAATTAATTAAAGAAATGCATATCTGAATAGAACAATTTTTAACCATAAACAAATCAATAAGATTTACATTATCCACCAAAGCAAGATAAAAAACAAAAAATTTAATAAGATTAATCTAATTAATAAAAAATTGAGATAAAGCCTACTAATCAATCTACTTAGCCAAAGTTTTACAGCGAAGAAGTTGATTCTATCTTAAAGCAGATTAATGAACTCACTCAATACGAAAGAGATCTATTCATGAAACTATTTGGCAAATATGATGCAGGTATGAACGGCTAGTTTTTGGATGATTTAAAAAAGAGGTATCCTGAGATTTATTATTTGATCAAATCATGCAAGGGTTTAGAAAAAGTTAGAAAAATTAAACCACGTTCGGTTTAGATCATTTCTTGTTTGATGTTTTTATACAAGCAAAAACAAAAAGGAAGAATCTTACAGATTAATACTGGAGAAGGCAAGTCGATTACAGTTGCTTTGATGGCAGCCACCAGAAGTTTAATGAAAGATAAAGTTGATGTCTACACATCAAACAAAGAGCTTGCCAAGAGAGATTGTGAAGAATTCTAGGAATTCTATGAAGAGCTCGGTTTAACATGTGGCTCAATTGGCTAAGAAGAAGTTCGTTCGAGTGAACCAAATGAAACTTACAAAAAAGATATAGTCTATGGTGATGTTGGTAGCTACGCAGCTGATTTATTAGGTGATTATTATGAGCAAAGAGGTACTAGATGTGGCAGAATGTTTGACTTTGCTATTGTTGATGAAGTCGATTGTATGTTTATTGATCAACATAATCATTCCACTTCTCTTGCTAAGAGTATTCCAGGGTTGTCTAAGCTGAATACTATTTTGTGGCTTATTTGGTACAAAATTACTTAGATGAGAGATCAATATCTAGATGGATATTACTACTTTGTAGAAAATAAGGAAAAGAAATACTGTTGCAGAGCTGAAGATTTTATTACTGAATTTATCAACTAAGTTCTTATGAGTGGTGAAGTGTCTGCCGAGATTGATAAGCAAATACCTAGTCATATGAAGTCATTTGCAATGTCCCAAATGAAAGAATGGATTAGCAATGGTTTCCATGCTTTGTAACTTTAAAGAAACAAAGAGTATAAAGTAGAAAACGATAAAATTATTCCTATTGACTATGACAACACAGGTATAGCTTAGCAAAACACTTAATGGAGAGGAGGTTTACATTAATTCATTTAAATGAAGGAAAATGTGACTGTAACTCCAATGAACATGACTGTCAATTTTGTTTCTAACATATACATGTTTTTACTCTATAAAAGCAACTTAGTTGGATTAACTGGAACATTAGGCACCTTTTAATCAATAAATGTTTTAGAGTAATTCTACACAATAGATGCTTTGAAAGTACCTCCTTTCAAGCCTAGAAAATTATAAATATTCCCACCCTTGATTGAAAAAACAACTTTGGATTTCCAAAAGACTATGATTAACGAAATTGGTCAAAAAATGCAATAAGGAAGACCTTGCTTGATTATATCTGAATCAGAAAAATTCGGCAAATACCTTTCGAAATTGATTTCTAAGAAATTCTCAAACATAAAAATCATAGAATACTACAGCGGTGATGAAAGCATAGAAAAAGAATAAGTAAATGACTTTTGCATAATAATAAGCACTAACTTAGCAGGCAGAGGAACTGATATAAAGCTTTCTCCAAATATTATTAATAATGGTAATCAATTAGATAAGATTTTACATATAAACAATATATTTTTATTTATTAATAAATTTTAGGTGGATTGCATGTAATAGTAACGTTCACACCTAAGAATAAGAGAGTAGAAGACTAGGCATTCGGTAGAGCTGGCAGATGTGGATAAGACGGCAGTGCTCAAATGGTGATCGATGGTTCAAAAGATAGCTTTATCATAAAAAATAAAATTTAGTCAAACTTAATAGAGGAAAGAGACAAAGTAGATGCTTAGATTTGCGAGAGATAACTTTAAAATATGAAAGATATTTCTAAAATGGATGAAATTTTTTGGGACTACTGCAAGACTCTTAACACTTGTGAAGCTATTAAAAATAAGTAATATATGAGGAAGTAAGAAGAAGAGATTTGGGCAACATTTTATTGCAAGATTTAGTTCATGAGAAAGGAGCCAGAGAAAGTCAGGAAAGAATATGCAATTTTCAAAGAAGAGTTTTAAAAAAGAGTTAATGAGAAAAATATAGTCAATCCTTCTTATTTAATTAACGAAGGAATGAAGTTACTTATGGATAACAAATTTGCTGAGTCACTCTAAATATCAGATGAAGTCATCTAGAAAAATCCAAATAACTTAGCTGCTCACTACATTAAAGCTATTGCTTTGCTTTCTTTGAAAAAGCATGCTAAATCTCTTCAGATGCTCGATAAATGTGAAGAAATTCTAGCTTAAAAGAATGATTTGCACTAAGCACTGTAAATAATACAATTATAATCTTAATCTTTAGTGTAGCAAGAATATAACTAAGAATTGCTTGAATAAAGTCTTGTTTTAAGCAAACATTTTTAGAATTAATTGCAAGAGTCAAAAATATTTAATTAGAATAAATATGACAGGAAGCAGCTCGAATCTTACATCACTGAGAGTGGATGCTTTAAGAGAATCAAAGATGAAGAAGTGATCAGAGGTAAAATTTAGGATTAAATCAGAGAATTGAAAACAGAAATTAAGGAACTCTATAGAAATCCTTCTAAAAAAGAAAGCTTATAATTCATCCAAGTCAACGAATATTTCTAAGATGACTAAATTACTGAACAAATGCTTAAAGAGCATTAAAATGAGGAAATCCCATTTATTATTGAGCTCTTTGATCGCAAACCTTTAAAGTGGAAATCTCTAATTCCTCTTGCATGTGGTATTTTCTAACTAGCTAACTCACTTTATCTGTTACAAGCTCAACAAATTTTGTAAGATGGAAATTCTAACTCTAATACACCTTCAACTCGCACCTCAGCTGCTAGCTAAACTCCTTCAGGATTGGATTTGTGCACTCCTGTAGACTTTGAGGTTGATCTTAAATATCCTCTTATGATTGAAGAACAAGATAGATAAGTCCAAGGAATAGCTAGTGCTGTTAAAAAAATAGCTGATGTTGAAGGATTGAATTTAAAAGACTATTTAAGCAAAAAATCGCTTCTTTTAATTGAAAATATCAGAAAATTCTAAATTAACGATTATATACACATGCTAACTCAAATCAGTGAGTCTTCAGCTGACAGAGTACAAAACGAACTTATGATTTAAATAAGTCTTAAGAATGCCCTAACAAAAGAGGTCATAAAATACTCACCAGAAATTACTTTTATCACCTAGCAGATGGCATAAGATTAGACATTCTAAAATCTCCGTTTGCTTTCATATAAATTTTAAGAAAATTGCAAAAAAATATTGGAGTAGAATCAAGTTATATAATTTGTTTCTACTTAGTAAATAGAAAGCATATACAGAGCATTCAAAAAAAGCTTTTTCTACTTAAGTTTTTCTTAATTTTAAAAAGAAATAGTCAGCAGTTTGTCAAAAAATATTTGTAAGAATCACAAAAAATCAATTATAGAAAACCTTGAAAACTTCATTAAGGACAACTATGAATTACAATTTTCTTCTAATGCCTTTACAGAAGTTGTTTCAAATTTAGTTTAATAGCCTATATATAATTCTGTAAATAGCACAATAGATGGCATAGAAAATGTAGTCGTTGAAACTATCCGTTAACATGTTCTATGTTCGTTAAAAGCCATGATAAAATCTGTAAAAACTTAAATCAGAGATCTGATACTATCTGCTCCAAAGGTTCAAGGATTAGTATAGCAAAAATAATACTCTCATTTAGAGAATAAACTGAAAAACCATCAAAAATTCTATGCCTTTTTAAAAGAAGACAAAGAATTATTATAATAATATCCTAAAGCTATCAATCAAGCCATTCAAAACTTAAAAATACTTGATAAAAATAACAATAGTCTAATAAATTTCTCTGAGACATAATTAAAAGGAGAAATAAAATATTTAATCCTTAAAAACAATCAAAAAATAACACAATATGAAGAGTTCTTAGATGTAATTTCTCAAGCTGCAATAAAATTGTTTGAAAATAATAATATAAATTCCAATTAATTCAACTCAAACGAATTCCAATAATAAATATTTAAAAAAATACAAATAAAACTTCTCAGCCCAGCCTTTAAGATAGTATCTCATGTATTTTAGCAATAAATAGAATCAAATGCAATTTATGGCTTATTTAAACATATAATACAATGAATTAATTAATTAATTAACATAATAAATATTTATATTTTATAAATAAATAAATTAACAATTGTTGCATATATTTACTATTAATATTTTTATATGTGTATACAATTTAAATGAATTTTGCATCAATTTATAAATTTAAATTACTTTTTTTTTCTTCTAAATTTTATTACTGTTTAAATTTTACTTATTATTTAATGCAAACACCAATAAAAGTAAGTTTGAAATAATATTTTTGTAAATATATTTACAATTCTAAATAAGAAGTAGCTGAGGATTTTGAATAAAAGAAAATAAATTTAATTTATTTTATTAAATAAATATTTATTATATTTTTTTCTAAATTATTTTAAGACTTAAAAAACATTAAAAGTTTTAACATTTTTTTATTAGTTATTTGGTACCCACAAAAACACTACTTAAACAAAAATTATAAATATTTATTTAAATAATATAAAAAAAGATTTTGCATGAAAAACTAACTTAGTAACTTACTAAGTTTATGTATTAATATTTCATTCTAAAGACCACGATAGTTCTTATTAATTTAATTATAAAAAACTTAATAATTTTTTATAAAAAATGTTAAAATGTGATACATATTTAAAGTAATCTCTTCATTTTTAGTATTCTAGTTCTTAATTTGGATTAATTAATTAAATTTATTGTGTTAAACCTTATAAATTTATTTATTATTTAATATTAAAAATACATTTTTTTTAAAAATTAAATTTCAATCAAAAAATAAAATTTGATGCTTAACTTGTTCTTTTTAACATTAAGTTTTCAAAAAATGTAAAGATAGAAATTTAACTTAAAACTAATTATTACCCTAATTTAATTTCTAAAAATAAAAGATTGCTGCATTTTAATAAAGAAGATCCTAAATGTGAAGTTCCCTAGAGTCCTAAATTGTTTTACCTTTATAGCAAAAATAATTACTATTAATTGATTTTTATTTAAAAAAATTAAAAAAATAAATAAAAGATTGTTTGTTTTTACAAAAGTTCAAGCTTCAAATTTTAGAGCTTTAAGCATTTAATTAAGGCAGAACTTAAATCTAATATTCCTATTGATCCTACATGATTAGCACTTTGAATTATTATAGAACGAACATATTATTTAATTTAAATATTATTATTAAAATATTGATAAAAAAGATTTATAAATTTTACTCAAGATTTAAAGCCAAATTTTAGAGATTTTTACAATTTGGTAATGCAAAACCTAGTTCAGATGCACCCTAAGCTCCAATTTAGTTATCGCTTGAATTATTTATTTAATTTATTATGTTACTAGAATTTCAATAAAAATCTAAACAGTAAAAAATAAATAATTAATATTTATTACGCAAGATTAAGTGTCAGATTTGAAAGATTTGCACAGTTTACAAAACCTGATGCCAAACATGATAAGCCTTTATCTCCAATTTTATTGATTCTTTAGCATAAACGAATATATATTTGATTTATCATTTATTTAAGTATATCAAATTAAAAATTTTTTCATAAGAAAAAATAAATATAAAATTAAAATCTAATAAATTTTTAAAAAAGTAATTTTTGTAATATACTTACTATAAATTAAGAGTTAAAACTGATAAATTTGTAAATTTTGCTAAAGTCAAACCCAAAACTTAAGCTCCTTATAACCCAATACTTTTTTACCTTTTTTAAAAAATAAATAGCTAAGTTATAAAAATTAAAACAAAAATATTTCAAATAAAGCAAACTAACTAACTAACTAACTAAATAACTATGCTAAATTAATTTTAAATAATTTAGAAGAATTCAAAATTTAATTTAAATAAAAATAATTTATTTGTTTATACCAAATGTTTAGAGTTAAATTTTAAATATTTTTGCAATTTGATATAGCAGCTGGTTCTAAACTATTTTCATCTTAATCATCAAAGTTACTAATAAAAAATTAAAATATCAATTAAAAATAAATATTTAATTTTTTATTTAGTCAAAAAGAAATTTAAATTGAATGTTTTTTTAAAATCTCTTACAATATATCGAGTGACAAGTTTTATAGTTTAGCACAATTTTACAGAGCAGATCCTAAATACTCAACACTTTTATTACCTATAATATTTTATCTTTTGAATAGTTTTTGTAAAATTCCATAATTTTAATTTTAAAAAGAATTAAAAATATTTTTTACTATGACAAATAAAATAATATTTACTATTTTTATTTTGTTTTAAATTCTCAAATCAATCAATTTTATTTAAATTTTTTTCACAACAATAAAATAAAATGCTAAAAAAAGAAAGTAAATAGCTTATTTACTAAATATATAGAGTTAAAGTAGTGAGATTTGTACATCTTGCTAAACCGTTGCCTAACTCTAATAAACCTTCAGCATTAATACAATTATATCTGTTAAAACATTTAATTTTAATTTAGATAGCTTAAATTTGATTAGTAAACAAAAAATAAATCCTAATATTATTTAAAAGTGATCCAAAAGAAAGATAATATAATAATTACTATCCATCCTTTTTAAGTAAATGAAAATTTCTTCTTTTTTTTCTCATACGCTTAATTAAATATTAAATTTTTTAAAATGAAATTCTAATATTTACCTGAGATCAAGTTTCAAAGTTTACAAATTATTTAATTTTGATAAAGCAGATCCTAAATCAAAATTACTCTCAGCCCCAATGCTATTATCCCTTTAATTTTTAGATATATTAATGTTTAATTTTAAATTTAAAAAAATAATAAATAAACAATATTACCAAAAATCAAGTATCAAAGTTAAGAGATTAGTACATTTAGTTAAAGAAGTGACTATATTATAAGCTCCTTTATCGCTTATATTTGTCATTCTTCAGAAATTAAATAAATTTATTAGGTTTTAAACATTATTAAAAAATAATTTCGAGAAAAATTGAAAATCTTATTTTTTATTTAATATTGTGTTTAAAAATTAAAATAGATTATAAAAATATTAATATTTTTTTTTGTTTATTTAAAATTTAGTTAGAAATGAAAATAGAAATAAATTATTTCACAATTTATACCTTAGATCAAGAGTTAAGCTTTATAAATTAGTGCAATTTGCTAATGCCTTACTCAAATCGATTGTTCCTTCATCATCAATTTGTTATTCTCTTTTATTTAAAAAAAATATTTTTCATCTATTATAATCATTAAAAATAAATATTTATTTCAATATTTTTTAATAATTTTCATAGGAATTAATGAAAAGAAAGAAAGAAAGTAGTTTTTTACGATAATCAATTAAAAGAAGACGATGATCTAAAAATGGAGAGCAAAAAAACTTTTTATAAATAAAAATGATACAAAAAGCGATAATAAACAGCTATTTTTACATCTCTTAAAGTTTTAAATTAATTATTCTATTTTATCATTTACTCTATTTTTTATGAAATTGAAATTAAATTATTCACTTACCTTTATTTTAAGTTCATATAAAATAAAAACTATAAATTTATTAATTTAACATTAAATATTAAATGAATTATTCAAAAAAATTTATATGATAATTAAATACAAATTTTGTATGCATTAAATAACATATTAATAAATAAATACATATTAACTAACTTCTTTATAAATTTATTCTGATATTTAATTTTACACAAATTACAATTAATCCATACTAAAACTAATATTTATTGTAAATCACAAAACAACTAAAAATGATATCGAATATTAAATACTTAATTCAACTTTTTAAGATTAAATTTACCCATAAAACAAAACATAAATTTCAAATAGGATAATCAATTAAATAAGAAACAAGTATGTATTGAATTTTTTAGAAATTATGAAAAATCATTTATAAATTCTTAATTTAACTAACTTTTTTGCTTTTAAGAGTTTTCTTCTAATATTTTTGCCTTCATCTGTTGAAAAAGAACTGTTTTTATAAAGCATTAATTAATTAACTTATAAAATAAAAAAACTGTAAAAAATGTTCTATTAAATTTACTGGCTCTCATAAATATGTAGATATCAAATAAAAAACAAAATAAACAATTTTACTTAAAAATAAAAAATGAATTAATTAATTAATGCTTCTTAACAAACAAGCATACCTAAAATTAAAATTTTTAAAACTAATTTTTTTTATTAATCTTTAGTATACTTAGCCTATCTAAAATTAAAAAGGCATTTAACTCTAATTATTTCACAATGTATATACCTTAAATCAAGAGTTAAGTTTTATAAATTATTGCAATTTGCTATTACCTTGTTCAAATCGGTTTGGGGAAAAAAATTTTTATTGAATAAATGATTTAGATAAATACATTATTAAAACTAATTCTAGTAAGAATAAAAACAAAAATAAATTTTTTTATCTCTTAATTTTTAGGTAAATGAGATGATTCAGAGCTACAGCTGCGAATCTTAAGGTAGCAAAAAAAAGTGAAAAAACCAATGTTTGCCAATTTATTTATTATTTTCTTTTATTTTTAAATAAATATTTTTCATCTATTAATATAATTAAATATAAATATTTATTTAAATATTTTTATAATTTTCAAAGAAATCAAATAATTTACTATAAATCAATGAAAAGTTGATGATTGATACTCAAAAAGTAAATGGAGAGCAAAAAAACTGTTTTAAAAAAATAAAAATGATACATAAATTGATAA